CCACCATGACCATACAATGTAGACTATCACAGGCTAAACAAATATACAAAATATTCAATATGCATGTCAAATACTTTAAATTGACATATTCACAATTTATTTTAACGATCAATTCAGTTTTGACATACATTGGACTAATTACTGATATTAAGAGTGATTAAAAGAGGTTTACAAAGTGTTCTATGACACTGTTATTTGTCTCTGAATGTACTGGATTTTGATCTAGTGGGAATTTGACATATGAAGATAATATAATATAAGAAACTCCCTTAATCCGACATCCCTCTATTCCGAATTCCGACACTAAAATAACTGTACCAAAACATGTTTTTAGTGCAAATTGACTCTCTCTATTCCATTGTACCTGAAGTCATTATGTCAAGACAACACAAAACATGAAGTTTTTGAACTACTGTATTTTGAGCTGCTATTGTAATTCCTTTGTAGTGAGATGTCGTGTTCTGTAAACTTACTTATGTTTATGTAATTTGATTGTACAACATCTCTTTCTTTGTCGGATTTACATAGAATGTCTGTATTTCCAGATTCTGGGTTAACCTACTGGTTTAACTTGGGAATAGACACGTAACAGAAACAACATTTGTCTCCGACTTACCCGTAGGGGCCAACTTGGAGTCTTGACGTTCTGCAACAACACATTCTGCAGTCAACAGAATGGCTGAAAAAGGACAAAGTAAAATAATCGTGATATCCTATCAAACCATATTTGTAACACTTTAGCCACTAAGATCACATCCAAAACACACAGTAGTATCTGTCGTGAGTGAGTTAAGATTTTAAGTCACATCGGCAATATTTCAGCCATATCGTGACTAAAGCAAGTTATAAATATATCGATAATTTAAGTGAAATGATAAAATTCTGCCGACGAAGGACAGTAAAATAACTAGGTATCACAGGTATAGATATAAAACTAGTAACAAAAATCTAAAACATTTGAACTATACAAGACGATACAATATAAAAAACAGGCTATTGATCGCCAACAACTGAAGGTAGATCACCATACTAGGGCCCATGGGGACTTACAGTACATTTGCTTCCTGCATGGACCCTAGCTGGATTTACACCATCCCTTCAGCCATTGGCGACAGAAGAGAAACCTAGCCATAAATTAAAAGTACACATATTCTACGATTAAAAACCTGGTACACTTAAATTGACTAAATGTTTTGGGACTTACGTACCCTCTCAGGAGGACAATAATTTTACGCTACTTCAACCCCCTTTGAGGGTACAGCCACGAACAATATCAGTTACTAATTTAAACCACCAATAATAAAATATATATCTATTTACAAATCAGTTAGCAAGTCTAATTTTTTTAAAAAGGCAATAATTAAATGAGAACTTATATGACTAAAAAGATCCTTCATAGTTTTTACGTTGAAATAAATATCCCTTGTGATGGAATATTCAACACAGTCAAGCAGGACATGCTTGACTGTGATTCTTTCATCACAAGGGATACAAAACGGAGGATCCTCACCTTTTAATAGGTACTCATGAGTATATCTAGTGTGGCCAATACGACATCGTCGCATAATGACCTCTTCAAATCTGGACTGACAACCCAAGTAAGTGTAACCGATATAGGGTTTTATTGCATGTAATTTATTGATACCTACTTGGGTGTCCCACTTCTTTTGCATCAGATCACGGATGTAAGATCTTATAGCAGCTTTGTAATCAGAGTATGGGATCAGAAGTGGTGTCACAGATTTGTTGAGTGCTGCCTTAGCAGCAATATCAGCCATTGTGTTCCCAGAAATGCCAACGTGGCTGGGTAACCAACAAAAGACGATGTCGCATTGGCCAGTAGCAAGTGCATTGTACAATTCAACAATTTCTAATAAAAGTGGATGTTTGCAAGAAAGATTTTTAATAGCCTGAAGACACGAAAGAGAATCTGAAAAGATGATATATTGTTTATATTTACGGTGTTTATTAACATATTTAAGAGCTGTTAGTATTGCGTTTGCTTCTGCTGTGAAAATTGAACTGTCATTGGGTAGTCTGGAAGATATTGTTTTGGACCCAATGACAGTGGCACAAGCCACCGCGCCACCATCCTTGGATCCATCTGTATATAAGGATTTATAGGTATTATATTTATTTCTTAATTGATTAAATTCTTGTTTATACTGTAAATCATTAGTTTCTGATTTTTTAAATGTGGTTAATGTTAAGTCAACTTCTGGCCTCACCAATTGCCAAGGAGGAGAAGAAAGAAGACGAGAAGGAGATATATTCTCCAGCTCAACGCCAGCAGCAGAAAGGAATGGTTTAATTCTGTGCCCAAGAGGCGGAACAAGAGAAGGCTTTTTGTTATACAAATCCTCATAAAGAGGATTGAAGACACAGTTAAATGCAGGATTAGATTCGTTTGAATATAGTTTGGTAATATATTGTAAAGATAATTTAATACGGCGTTGGGAAAGAGAAGGCTCATCTGCCTCAACATAGAGACTATCAACTGGAGAGGTTCTGAATGATCCAAGACAGAGTCGTAGACCTTGGTGGTGAACAGAATCAAGTAGTTTAAGGTTGCTTTTGCAGGCTCCACCATATACGATCGAACCATAATCAAGTTTAGATCGTACCAATGATCGGTATAAGTGAAGGAGCGTAGTTTGATCCCTCCCACTTTGAATTGGAGACAACCTTTAACAAATCGAGTGCCTTCAGGCATTTAGCTTTAAGGGATTTAATATGTGGCAGGAATGTTAAATGGGAGTCGAAAATTAGGCCCAAGAATTTGGCCTCCTTTACAACTTTGATGGGAGTGCCATTTAAAGATAGTTCTGGGTCCTTATGAGGCTTATATTTACGGCAGAAATGTATACAATTAGTTTTGGATTTAGAAAATTTAAAGCCGTTTTCAAGACACCATTTATTTATTTTATTTAAACACAACTGCATTTGCCGTTCAATAGTATGCATATTTTTACCGCGACAAGAAATATTAAAATCATCCACAAAAAGTGATCCATCAATTGAATCGTTTAAAACCTTGGATAAACTGTTAATCTTAATGCTAAATAATGTGACAGACAAAATACTTCCTTGTGGAACACCCTGATCCTGATTATAATGGTCAGACAGGGTAGAACCCACTCGGACTTGAAATTGCCTGTCATTTAAAAAGTTGGATATAAAGTAAGGCAAACGGCCTCGTAATCCAAAGTCATGTAAATCTCTTAAAATACCATGTTTCCATGTTGTGTCGTATGCTTTTTCTAAATCGAAAAAGATCGACACTGTATGCTGTTTATTAATTATAGCATTTTTTACAAAAGACTCTAAACGCACTAAATGATCGATGGTACTACGGTTTTTACGGAAACCACATTGGATATTAGTTATAAGGTTATTGGTTTCCAAGTACCAAACAAGTCGATTGTTGATCATACGTTCCATGGTTTTGCAAACGCAGCTAGTCAGTGAAATTGGTCTATAATTAGAGGGATCAGTATGATCACGTCCAGGTTTAGGTATGGGAACAATAATAGCATCCCGCCACGACAAAGGAAAATTTCCAGATGTCCAAATGTCATCAAAAATATGTAAGAGCGTCTCTAAACATGATTCAGGTAAGTGCTTCAGGAGTTGATAATGTATGTTATCAGCTCCAGAAGCAGTATCGTGAGCCTGATCAAGAGCAGTATGAAGCTCATGTATCGAAAAGGTTTCATTGTAGTCTTCCCCATTATCTGAATTGAAATTAAGAGATTTCTTTTCTTGCTGTTTTTGATACTTTTGGAATTCAGGTAAATAATTAGATGAGGAAGAATGTTTGGCCAATGTCTCACCAAGCTTATTTGCAATATCTGATTTATCAGTCAATAACTGATTCCCATCTTTGAGATGGTGAATGCTAGACTTAGAGCCCTTACCCTTGATTTTCTGGATCATATTCCACACCTTTGATATAGGTGTGCGCGAATTGATTTTTGAGACATAGTTTCGCCAAGAGTGGCGTTTAGTTTGCTTGAAAGTACGTCGTGCTTTTGCGTTTAAAATTTTAAATTTGTCCAAATTGTGGACCATAGGATGACGACGGAAATAGTGCTCGGCTTTCTTCCGTGACTTCCTAGCTTGTTTGCAATCAGTGTTAAACCATGGTTTTCGTATGTGTGGGTTTGTAGAGGACTTAGGAATACATTCATCGGCAATTTTATTCAGTTCATCAGAGAATAGTTGGACAGGGTCAGCAACATCTATAAACAGTTCCGGTTTTAGGTTGTTTGATGCAAGTATTTCAAATAAAGGCCAGTTGGCCTTAGTAAAGTTCAATCTTGACATTGGAGGAACATCAGATGGAGTTATGGCTTTTAGAATGGTAGGAAAATGGTCACTTCCACACAGGTCGTTATGGACTGACCATTCAAACTCATTCAGCAGGTTAGAGTCGGTAATAGATAAATCAAGGGAAGAATATGTCCCTGTACCAGGATGTAAATAGGTGTTGGAATTATCATTAAAGATACATACATTGTTATTAGAAATAAAGTCTTCCAACATTTTCCCTTTTGTGTTGGTATGTGTACCTCCCCAGAGAGGGTTGTGGCCATTCAAATCACCCATGATGATACAGGGCTTAGGAAGTTGGTCATAAAGTGCCTGGAGATCAACAAGCTGTACAGAGGAGGAAGGGGGAATATAGAGAGAGCACAAAGTAAAAACAATGTGCATGGTCACACGAACAGCAACAGCCTGAAGTGTTGTATTCAGAGTAACAGGACTGTGTATTACACCCTGCCTGATTAATATGGAAGATCCTCCAGTGGCTTTTGGCCCAGTAGGAGAAAAGAAGTTGTATGAAGAATATTGTCTTACATCAATTTGATCCGTTTCCTTGAAAAACGTTTCTTGTAGACAAAATGCCGATGGTTTAAAATCTTGTATAAGTAACTGTATATCATTAAAATTATTATTTAGTCCTCTACAATTCCACTGAATAATGTTATTAGAGCTGCTCATGGAGGTGAAATTGGAGATCGGGAGCGGGAGGGGGGTTTATTCCCATGGATTGGGAGGGACGGACTCACGTCCATCTCCAGAGGATCAAATGTATTATGAACCTCTATCTGAGTTGTTGTAGGAGAAGCGATCTCTAAATTTTTGTGTGCCCTCGCCTTTTTTGCTTGCTTTTTTTCTTTACTTGTTAAATGAGTTTTACCGTCTGCGTGAGGGTCATTCTCATTTCTTTGCTGTGGTTCACGAGTTTTTTCCTGTATGGGTTGAGAGTCTGTCTGAGATGAAGATGTTACTTTCCTCTGAACCGGCTCACTCTGGCATACCTGAGTGAGTTCACTAACCTGAATATGGTCTGTTTTGAGCCAAGAAATAACTGTTTGGCAGGAAACTGAGACAGTAGGAACTTTAGTCACAAGAGCAGGCGAGGAAATTGCAGCTGAATAGGTTTTTGTAGACAGGTTCTGGCCAATAGATGGTACCAACTTTTTAGCTTCTTGATAAGTGATGTTATTCGTGTGTTTTATCTTCAGGATACTGGTCTCACGGAGGAAAATTGGACATGATTTTGAGGAAGCCATGTGCTGTCCGCCGCAGTTGACACACTTCATGTTGTCTGTACACTCTGAGCTCTCATGAGCACCACCACAGCGGAAGCATGTTGAAATGCCACGGCAAAATTTGGAACCGTGTCCAAACTTTTGACAGTTGTAACACCTGAGTGGGTTAGGTATATAGACCTCCACACTGATGTTGAAGTAGCCGGCTTTAATAGATTTAGGAAGAACTGAAAGTGAGAAAGTGAAGAGATACGTGTTAGTTTTGCTGATAGTACCATCATGTTGTTTCTTTGTAAACCGCTTGACAGCAGTCACTCCTTGACTTTTCAATTCAGCAGCGATTTCCTCTTCGCTCATGTCAGTCAAACAACGAGCGCGATCTCTGATAATTCCTCGAGTAGAATTCAGTGTTTTGTGCACCGACACAACAACTTTGGTGTTAACAAACTGTTTTAAGGACAGCAGGTTAACAGACTGTTGCCGCAGTGCACATTCCACTAGGAGTGAACCACCTCGGAGACGCGTGACATTTTTTACATCACCACATATACCTTGAATGCCCTTGGAAATAGCAAAAGGGTTCAATTTTAGAGTGTCCCCATCAGCAGGAGCAATGACAATAAACTTTGGCCAAGAATCTACGACGGTAGGTGATACATCATCATCAGATGACAAAGCCTCAACATGTCGACGTTTGTTTTGTTTTGCGGAACCAGAAGAATTGTTTTGAGACATGATAGTATTAATATGGTTCAGCACCCCTGTTCCCCACCCGCCATCGAGTGTCAACAAAAACGGTGTCACAGGGGAAGCCACACTGCAACACCAGGGCTACAGGGGTGTTATACTCCAGATATAGAAACATGAAAAGCTGTAGTCACTAAAAGAAGAAATGTCAGGCTGGTTCGGCCCATGGCATTTTCCTTAAAGAAACACAGAAATCAGAGGTCTGTATAACCAGATTGGCCCATGAGCCACCGCCTTCTGGCATAGGACTCTAGGCAGTTTCATAGATACATGCAATTATATGATTCGATTTAAAGAGCCAAGACCAAATAATATCTTAAATAGATGCAGAAATACTCTCCATGCACAGGGCCTGGCGTGACCAGCCGATTGGTAGAACCGGGCCCATTCTACCACCCGTCTAGGTGAAGTAAGGGTCAAAGTGGTGTGTTGGGCAAAGGAACACTGTTCCTGGCTCCTGTGCCCTCAACCACCAGAATCCCGTCCTCCACCGACACAGGGGCGCAACCCACGGCAAACAGGTTGGTGGACCAAATATGCCCCCGGGTCCACAACGGGGGGTTGAAGGGCTCTTAGCGTGACCCAGCACCCACCACGAGGAGGTGGCCCTTCACGGGAAGTGATGCCCCTGGTCTGAACCACGACTTTAAATATGTTTTCCACACGCAGAGAAAGTGTTTATTGGTTGCATCTGTTGCTCATGTGCATTATAATTATGCTCACATGATTATTTTACTGTTTACCTTAATTAAATACTGATTTAGGTTTCATCATAACAAATGTGGTATAGCCCAATATGGCATTGATTGGCCATAGCTCATGTAACTTAATATCCAATTTGGATCATTCAGATGATGTTTTTCCGTGGCAGTAAGTGCTAATTCCAAAATGGAAAAATAATCATAAACTAGAAATTGGGCAGTTGTACGGAAATATATATATGTACATGGAAATTTTGGAATGTAAATGTCAGTTGGCTTAAAAACCTTAATTCTGAAGTGCCCTGGTCACGAGTGAGTGAGTGAGTTAAAATGTATCCTCACATCGGCAATATTTTGGCCGTATCGTGACGAGAACAATTAATTTTTATACACAGTTATTAATGGTAAACTGTAAAAACCTGTCAACCAAGGTCAGTAAAATAACTAGATTATCACAGATTCGAATTTATAACTAGTAATTAAATCTAAAACAGTTTAACCATAGATGACGATACAAGGTAAAAACAGGCTATATACTGCCAACAACTGAAGGTAGATCACCATACGTGGGACCATGGGGACTTACAGTACATTTGCTTCCTGCATGGACCCTAGCTGGATTTACACCATCCCTTCAGTAGTTAGCGGTTTAGACACATTTAGCCATATATTAAAAATACACATATTCTACGATTAAAAATGGTGGATTCATTTAAATTGACTTTGAATGTTTTGGGACTTACGTACCTTCTCAGAAGGACAATCATTTTACAATACTTCAACCCCCTTTGAGGGTACAGCCACTAACAATCTCAGATATTATTCTAAACTACCAATAATAAAATATTTATCTATTTACAAATCATTTAACAAATCTAATTATTTTAAAAGTGCAATAATTAAATGAGAACTTATATTATTAAAAAGATCCTTCATAGTTTGTGATTTGAAATAGTTATCCCTTGTGATGGAATATTCAACACAGGCAGGCAAGACATGCTTGATCGTGATTCTTTCATCACAAGGGATTCAAAACGGAGGATCCTCATCTTTCAATAGGTATTCATGAGTATATCTTGTGGGGCCAATACGACATCGTCGCATGATGACCTCTTCAAATCTGGACTGAAAACCCAAGTAGGTGTAACCGATGTAGGGTTTTATTGCATGTAATTTATTGATACCGACTTGGGTGTCCCACTTCTTCTGCATCAGATCACGGATGTAAGTTCTAATGCTAGCTTTGTAATCTGGGTATGGGATAAGAAGTGGTGTCACAGATTTGTTGAGTGCTGCCTTAGCAAACAAATCGGCCATTGTGTTCCCAGAAATACCAACATGGCTAGGTAACCAAGTAAAGACGATGTCGCACTGGCCAGTAGCAAGCTCATTATTCAATTCAATCATTTCTATTAAAAGTGGATGTTTACAAGAAAGATATTTAATGAAAGAGAATCGGAAAAAGATTATGTATTATTTATATTTACGTTGTTTATTTATATATTTAAGAGCTGTTAATACGGCATTAGCTTCTGCTGTGAAAATAGAGCTGTTATTGGGCATAAGAAGTGGTGTCACAGATTTGTTGAGTGCTGCCTTAGCAAACAAATCGGCCATTGTGTTCCCAGAAATACCAACATGGCTAGGTAACCAAGTAAAGACGATGTCGCACTGGCCAGTAGCAAGCTCATTATTCAATTCAATCATTTCTATTAAAAGTGGATGTTTACAAGAAAGATATTTAATGAAAGAGAATCGGAAAAAGATTATGTATTATTTATATTTACGTTGTTTATTTATATATTTAAGAGCTGTTAATACGGCATTAGCTTCTGCTGTGAAAATAGAGCTGTTATTGGGCAATCGAGAAGATATAGTTTTGGATCCAATGACACTGGCGCCCTGGTCACGATATTCTCGGTGAGGTGAGGTGAAATTGGGTTTAACGTCGTACTTGAGAATATTTCGCTCATATGACGACGTGCATGCGTGTGTATGTGTATGTGCGGCTGTTTGTACTAGCCCAGACGGAAGCTGGTTTTATAGTGCTAGCCCACTGAGATACCATGCCGCAGTGAAGCATGAATACCCCACTCAGACACAGTATACTGACTCCGAGCCGACCAGTCCTTGTTGTACCCATTAATGCCGAGCGCCAGGCAGGGACCAACAAGTACCATATTTTAACGTCTTTTGGTATGACGCGGTCGGGGATCGAACCCGCGACCTTCCGCTCTCCGGGCGGTCGCTCTAACCACTACACCACGGAGGCGGTTACGATATTCTCGGAACTGATTGCATTCTGGTAGAGCATTCCACAGTTTTGGAGCTGCAAAGCATAGACCCACTTCGCCAATCTTTGTTTTAGTTTTAGGAACATGAAGTAGTGTATCATCGGCTAATCGTAAAGCTCTTGTGGGTTGGTAGTGATATAACATGTCCTTAATACAGGTTGGGGAGTTTTCATCATTTAGTGCTGAATATGTGATAGAAAAAGCCCTGAAAGTGATGCAGCGCTCTACGGGTAGCCAGTGGAGTCATTTCAGGACAGGGGTGATATGGTCAGTTCTCTTGGTACCAGTCAGCATCCTCGCAGCACTGCTCTGCACTTGTTGCAGTAGTTTGATGTTAGTGGCAATAGTCCCATTGAGGAGGGCATTTCCTTAGTCAAGACGTGATGTGACACAGGCTTGTATAACTGTCCTCAGACTGTTATTGTCAAGGTATTCCTTGGTCTTGCTGATCCTAAATAGCTGGAAGAAGGCAGATCAGCATGTTGACTTGGCATGGTTTTTCATCGTCATGTTTCTGTCGAACTTGACTCACAGATTTCGCACGTCATTACTTGGCTTAATGTGACTGCCACTAATCTCAAGAGTTACATCTGGGATTTTGGACTGTAATTTTCCAGAGCTAATAGTCTGTGAAGAACACAGTCTTATGCCAGATCATTCCTTCCGGACACGATCAACTTGTAGAATAATCTAACAGATGAAGTAACTAAAAGATTTTCAATCATTAATGAATCGTTCTTACAGAATTACGAATAACCTGGACTTGAATTGTGGTTCTAGATTCTGCCAAATTTTCTACTGTCACCTCAGACTCGGCTGCAGCGACTTAAACGCTGATAAGTTTAGGCGCTGTGTGTCAGAAACCCAGAGTGCACATGGGGGTATCAATTTGTGTATACCTTTTCTTTAATTGCCTTCAATACGATAATATCAGAAAGACTATTTACTTTTACATACGTGGTAAAGACCTGACATCTGTACTTTATGGCCATTGTTCTGTCAGCAGTTACACGAACATGGAAATCCTTCAATAAATTCACGACTTTATCGCTAAAAGCAAATATTTGAGCAATTTTATATGAGAAGAATAACTGTATTTTCGTACTTTTCCATAAGCACCACTGGCTCCAAAATACTGGCTTTATATATTCCGTTTGTGCAACTGTATATTATGTTTAGCATTATCTTGTAAAACGTATTACCAGCTGTGTCAACTTATTACCTGGAGAGGTATTTACATAAGCAAGTTTTGCTTTTTTACCGATCCAGATTCCTTTGGAAATAAAAATACGTTTAAACCACTAAGACATACACAAAAACATAAACATAAACATACAAATATGCACTTATGGGAGATTTTTTAGGGAATCATAAATGAATGTCTACATACGTGTCAATATGAATTTTGTTGACAGAAAACCAACAGAATTGTTGTGTTTAAAATCATTTTATGGAGTATTAACATGTTAACTATTAAGCTGAAGCTTTTATGCTGATATTTCTGACAAACTGTGGGGTAAGTTTATTTGCTTGTCTATTATTACGAAGCTTCGATTACCATGTCGTACGAGCAGCAATTTGATAAAATACATTCATAATCAGTTTATGTGTTTTGCGTGATTTCTAGAGTAATGTTTTGAAGTTTTACTCAAAAGTGTATACGTGAATAGCCGACTTTAAATCGACTCTCTGCATAATATATTCTTATGTGGCAAGTTTATGCAACAAGGAAGAGTGTTCAAAGTGCAATATGCTGTTTCTGTTCGACAGTCGGGAAGGGGTAGTTCTGTGCCATATCTGTACTTAGGCAACGTTTAGATGGATATGTGTTGTATGTAAGGGGCGTGTTTGTACCTTGTTCATATCACGTTACATCACGCAAATGCCAAATTGTTTTATGGACTGAGAATCAGGGGAAACTGACTGAGAAATTGGGAATCGGCATGTGGCAATATCTAAATGATATTAACTGAAGGCTGAAGTCAACCTCATT